AAAAAAAAAAAAAAAAAAAAAAAAAAAAAAAAAAAAAACAAATAGAGGAATACTGGATGCGACCAGTTTACTTATCCCCCTTCTCTTCACCTTAGCTCCAACCAGCCCAGGTGGACCTTTTGTCTCACTTTACCTCCAAGCACAGGGAGGATTATGGGCCTGAGGTTCCAGCAGGCTCACTGGTTCTCAACCCTTGGATGCACATTGGAATCACCTGGGGAAGCTTTCGACCCATCCCTGTGCACAGCCACAACCGTTCTAGGGACTCTGATTTACTTGGCCTTGAGGGTGGGTGTCCAGCGTCCCCATTTTAGCACTGAAAGTCCCACATTCTGGGGAACCCCTTAGCCCAGGGCAAACTGGAACAGTCCATCACCCTAGGCCTGGTCTTCAGGGTTTTTTGTTTGTTTTTTTTTTAAGTTTTGTTTACAATTCCCCAGGAAGGGTCTAACATGCAGCCAGGTGGAGAACCACTGCTAGCTTAGTTTCAGCAACAAGGGGTCTGCCCAGGTCTTAAACACTCTACTCTCAAGTTGTCTGCAAGTTATGGGCTTCATGGCAACCGTTAAATACACGCTGAATAAATGAGTGAAGTGAAAGAAATCTGATGCCTCTAGAAATAGATCATATCAAAGCTTATTTTGCCGCATCAATGATGCAGAAAAGCACTTACATCTAGAAAATTAAAAACCATAGGTTTGGATAAACAAATTGTGGCAGATCCACACAATGGAATACTACTCAGCAATAAAGAGGTGTGATCCATTCCTCCATGTTACATGGAGGAATCCCAAAAACATTATGCTGAGCGAAAGAAGCCACACACAGCAGGCCGCATACTATATGATTCCATTTATATGACATTTGTGAAAAAGCAAAACAGATCCGTGGTTGGCCAGAGCTGGGAGAGGGTGACTGGGGGCTGCCACCAGAGGGTGCAAAGGAACTTTTTGGGGCAATGGAAGCATTCTATATCTTAAAGTGGTGGTGACACAACGGTATACATTTGTCAAAACACACAGAACAGCATGACTTCATACCTATATCTCAAAACCTGACATTAGAAAATGTGACCTAGGGTAGATATATGTGTAGCAGGCGTTTTTCCCCACCCTCAGTAGTGGGTACTGATTTCCCAAACAGAAGCTGCTATATTTGCTGAATAAGGATCTTTCCAGAGGCTATGATTAGTGCAGAATGTCCCTCTCTCTGGGATGCATGAGCTTCCTGACCTGTCCTTCTGAAGCCATTTTATCTACACAGAAAAAACTTGTGGCTTTCCACGATATTTTTAGGGCCCTCCATGGGATAGAAGGCAGTATGGTGGGACAGACTGATCTGAGCTAGTTCACAGCTCTAATTATGTCATCAAGAAATCGTGTATCTTAGGGACTCTACTGGCTCCCAGCTTAGGCATACTTATCCATTAATTGAGACCACTTGCTTCTCAGAGTTGGCATTTTAAATAATGTGATTACAGGCTGGGCGTGGTGGCTCACACCTGTAATCCCAGCACTTTGGGAGGCTGAGGCGAGCAGATCACCTGAGGTTGGGAGTTCAAAAACAGCCTGGCCAACATGGTGAAACCTGGTCTCTACTAAAAACACAAAAATTAGCTGGGCATGATGGCAGGTGCCTGTAATCCCAGCTACTTGAGAGGGTAAGGCAGGAGAATCGCTTGAATCTGAGAGGCAAAGGTTGCAGTGAGCTGAGATCGAGCCATTGCACTCTAGCCTGGGTGACAAGAGTGAGACTCCATCTCTTTAAAAAAAAAAAAGTGATTATACACCACCAACTCCTGTTCCAGACCACGTGCACTTTGAAGAAATGGGGCAGCCACCGGCCTGCTGAGCAGTGAGCCAGGCACTACCAGCAGTATTACCGCGCATAGCTCGCTGCTCTCCCTCAAGCTTTTGACCCATGAGGGAACCATGAAAAACATGAACTAGGAAATGACAGCACAAAGCTGCATGTGGTGCCAAGTGACAGCTGTGGAAGCAGCCCCATGGGCCTTTGGAGGGAGAGGGCCTGGGGCCAGGTTTGAGGTCTACAAGCAGGAATGAGGAGCAGGCCAGTGAGGGCACAGGAGGCCCTCTCCGGGAAAGGATCCGAGAGGAGCTCCAGAGGTGGGCTGGGAGAACCTCATAGACAGTGTCGGGCAGGAGCTTTACAGGAAGGTTGCTGAGCAGAGAAAGAGCAGGATGAAAGAAGGGACTAGACTTGAGCCTGCTGATCTACTTGAGGCTTCTGAAATAATCCAGGGAATGCTTACAAATGAGCATGGAAAGAGGAACAGGTGTGAGACTTGAGGATGTCCTAAGATGTGATGAGGGACTGGGGAGGGGAGACAGATGAAAATGAGGGAGGCATGGCTTGCTTAACTATGCTCTCTAATAAACCAATGAAAAGGCAGTGAGAGCCAGAAGATTTACCAAAGGGCAAAGCCACTGAGGTGGGTTCTCTTGCTCCCACAGAGATTACGTTCACAAAGGCATTTCAGGCTGTCATTTCTATTTCCTGCAGCATGCAAGGTCCAGAGAAGTCACTTCATTGATGGGATATATTTCTATAGGTTGATTCACCTGACATTGCTGTTGAAGATCTTGTATGTAGATGTGTGTGTAGGTGTCATAAGCTAGAGATACTATGGTTTCAGATTTGACTTGGCCAAGAAATTGTACTTAACTGTGTGTGTGTGTGTGTGTGCATGTGTATCTGTATTAGAGAGGCTACTTACTGCTGTCCATGGTCCCCAGGCTATTGCCGTCCAAAATCCCATTCTAGTCCACCTGATTCATTATCCCAACACTATTAGCTGAAGCTACCACCCTGTGATGTGCCAGTGCATTCTGGGAAATTCAGGCCACTTTAAACCCCTGCTACAGACCCAATCTGGCCATCCAGGGACAGAAAAGATGGCAAGCCCTTTTATGACCCTTCTTACCTCAATTGCAAATATCTCCAGAGTACTGATAATGTTTTTATTTTTAAAATAAATCTCTTAGCTGGGTGTGGTGGCTCATGCTTATAATCCCAGCACTTTGGGAGACCGAGATGGGAGGATCATGAAGTCAGGAGTTCTAGATCAGCCTGGACAACATGGTGAAACCCATCTTTACTAAAAATACAAAAATTAGCCAGGCATGGTGGCACATGCCTGTAATTCCAGCTACTGTGGAGGCTGAGGCAGGAGAATTGCTTGAGCTCATGAAGTAGAGGTTGCAGTGAGCAGAGATCACGCCATTGCACTTCAGCCTGGGTGACAGAGTGAGACTCTGTCTCAAAAAAAAAGTCTCCCAATTACAAAAGAAATAATGAGTTCATTTTGGAAAATTTGGGAAAGGTACAAGAATAAAAATCAATCTTAGCCTCAATTCCCAGAGATAACCACTCTTAATAGTCTGATGATATCCTTCTGTGCTTAAATTTTTAAATATACAAATTTATATTAAGCACTGGGACATGTGCTATATATGATCTTATATATCTGTCATGTTCATGTTATTTAACAATGGAAAGCATTATCTTCAAAACTATGATTTTAATATTAATTATATTCCACTGTATGAATGAACCATAATTCTAAGTCTCCCTCTCCATATTTAAAAAATATCATAACTACTGCTGTCATGAATGTCTTTGTGGGTAAAATTTTACTGGTTTTATTGCTTATTTTTCTTCTTTTCCATATTTCATTTTAATAGCAGGTTTCATTACTTTTTCAAGATGGAGTCCCAGGAGGTAGGTACTGAGTAAAAAGGACCCTTTTTTGGAGATGGAGTCTCGCTCTGTCACCCAGGCTGGAAGTATAGTGGCACGATCTCAGCTCACTGCAACCTCTGCCTACTGAGTTCAAGTGATTCTAGTGTCTCAGCCTCCCGAGTAGCTTGGATGACAGGCATGCACCACCACACTCAGTTAATTTTTTTGTATTTTTAGTAGAAACGGTTTCACCACGTTGGCCAGGCTGATCTCCAACACCTGGTCTCAAGTGATTCACCTGCTTCAGCTTCCTAAAAGACTGGGATTACAGGCATAAGCCACCACACCTGGCAAAGAAAGGACCTCCCCCTTCCTTCCCCTGAGACTGTCTTGGTCTGTGCCCAGGCTGGAGTGCAGTGGTGCAATCTTGGCACACTGTGACGTCTGCCTCCCAGGTTCAAGTGATTCTCCTGCCTCAGCCTCCCAAGTAGCTGGGACTACAGTTAGGCACAAGCCACCACTCCTGGATAATTTTTGTATTTTTACTAGAGATGGGGTTTCACCATGTTGACCAGGCTGATCTTAAATTCTTGACCTCAGATGATCTGCCTGCCTAGGCCTCCCAAAGTACTGGGATTACAGGTATGAGCCACCATGCCTGTCAAAGAGGAACCAGTTTTAACACTCCTGATTTGTTTTGCCAAATTGTTTCCCAAAGGTGGCTGTTCGTATCACAAGCTCCCAACAGCATCTGGGTAAGCTCACTTTACTAATTTTGGGTACTAGCATTTTAAAGTTACAAATTTATATTAAGTTCTTTTGCTGATATTTTTTAATGCCAACTCCATTGCCAAATTTTTGAATACAAAGAAACTATGGGACAATAATTGCATGTAGATTCCCAGCAGCAGTCGGGGACCTCTCACATGAGCAGGGTTTTGGTGCTGTTAGTGGGCCTGCTCCTGACCTGGGACATCAGTTAGCTTATAGCCTTTGCTGCAAATGAAACTTCTGGGTCAAATGGACCTTCAGGTTCCTCATGCCCCTCTGGGCTCCCACTTTTCTTGCTGGAAGAAGGTTCCCCTAAGGGGAGAAACCCACAGCCATCCTCACCTGTGAATGAGGCATTCTAGCACCTGCCAGGCCTCACCTTGTTCTTGGCAAGTACGTTGGCTCCTGCTTTAACGAGCAGCTTGGCTGACTGGCTGAAACCGTGCCAGGATGCTTCATGCAAGGCTGTATTCCCATCCTAAGGAAGACACACAGGTGGGAAAGGCACATTACCCAAGACTAATTCTTCTCATCATGATCAATACAACACAGTGGATTTTTACAAAACACCAGAAGGCCTTTCTCAATTGGACTTTCTCATCTGAGCCACTGACTACAGAAGATGATTTAAGTGGTTAGTTTCTCCATTCTCCCAGAAATGTTACATAATAAGAACCATTATAGATGCACAGAAGAGAAATGAACCCATGATGAACCATGGATGACTGTTCATAAGGCAATAGGGGTTAAGTCTCTCTAAGAACCCCAGTTGAGAAAGGCTCCAGACCCCATCCACAGCTTTTGTTTAACAGAAAGCAACATCAGGATGGCATGCTGTCTGTTCCTTCCCACCTCCACCACCCTTAGAGTCTGCTCTGCTCCTGGCATCAGAGAGAACCCTGCAAAGGTCAGGCAAAGGAAGAGCCCAGCTTTGTAAGATTCAGGGGCCTGACAGATTCCTCCACCACTATTCACCAAAACTTAATCTCACCAACCACCTTAATCCAAAAGACTCAGGTTCCCCAACAAATAATGAGGAAGGACTGAGGAAACAGTGATTTGGAAATAAAACTAACAAGTATCCTCAATGTGTGGCTTTTATTTTTTGAGAGAGAGTCTCGCTCTCTGTGACCTAGAGTGGAGTGCAGTGGTGCAATCTCAGCTCACTTCAACTTCTGCCTCCAGAGTTCAAACGATTCTCCTGCCTCAGCCTCCCAAGTAGCTGGGATTATAGGCATGCACCACTACACCTGGCTAATTTTTGTATTTTTAGTAGAAACAGGGTTTCACCATGTTGCCTAGGCTGGTCTCGAACTCCTGACCTCAAGTGATCCACCCACCTCGGCTTCCCACAGTACTGGGATTACAGGTGTGAGCCACTGCACCCAGCTAATGTGTGGCTTTTTTTTTCTTTTTTCTTTTCTCAAATGTTACATGTAATGTGTGGCTTTTAAATAAAAATCATTTAATGAACATAGCTCATATTTGCTAAGTTTACTATTTTAAACCAAGAAATATCATTAAGTACAATAAATTGAGTGGGGTGGGGGCAGGAAGGCAAGGGTTACAGGAAGGGCAGAGCCTGGAGAGGGAAGGGTACCGGGCAACAGCTAGGGCCAGCGCAGGTGCATTCTCCAATTACATCCAGGTTCTGGTTTAGGCTTTAACTCAACCACATCCATGCACCTGGAAACAACTAAAAATAAAGGCCTGGCCAGGTGTGGTGGCTCATGCCTGTAATCCCAGCACTGTGGGAAGCCAAGGCAGGTGGATCATCTGAGGTCAGGAGTTCAAGACCATCCAGACTAACATGGAGAAACCCTATCTCTACTAAAAATACAAAATTAGCTGGGCGTAGTGGCACATGCCTGTAATCCCAGCTACTTGGGAGACTGAGGCAGAAGAATCGCTTGAACCTGGGAGTCAGAGGTTGCAGTGAGCCAAGATGATGCAATAGCACTCCAGCCTGGGCAAGAAGAGCGAAACTCCATCCCTAAATAAATAAATACAAAATAAAAGCCTAACACAGTTGACATCCACAAAGGGAAGTCTAGGGTCTCAAAGGCCAGAGGATGGGGTGGTTGCTGGGAACTGTATTGGTGATGTGTGGCTTGGACAGTGGGACTGACTGCAGAAGGAGGAAGACACAGGAAAGGGGGATGCAGGGGGCAGGGGGCACAGGGTGTGGGGCTTCTGGGTGCTGGCAATGAGCTGCTTCTTGAGCTGGGTGCTCACACAGGTGTGTTCAACTAGTGAAATTCATCAAGCTTCACTTGTCCATTTTTCTGCATGTATATTATATTTTAATGAAGTTATTTTTAAAAAGTAAAGCAGAGTTCTTCCAAGCATAGCCTCTTTTTTAAAAAAAAAGTAAGCAGAGGCTGAATTACACTTAATTGTGAAGTTTTGTGTTTTAAGATTGTTTGAAAATTTAAGAAGATCGGGTTAATATGTAAGAAGTCTCTCACTCTGTCGTCCAGGCTGGAATGCAGTGATGCGATCATGGCTCACTGGAGCATCAACCTCCTGAGCTCAACAATCCTCCCATCTCAGCCTCCTGGGTAGCTGGGACTACTGGTGTGTACCACCATGACTTGCTAATATATTTTTTTTAATTTTCAAATTTTTTGTGGAGTCAGTGGTTTGGTATGTTGACTAAGCTGGTCTCGAAGTCCTGGCCTGAAGCAATCCTCCCCCTTAGCCTCCCAGAGTGCTGGGATTATAGGCGTGAGCTACTGTGCTTGGCCTAATGGAGCTTACTTTTTTTCCTGCAGTATAGTTTGAAGAAATTAACTTGCTCACTTATCTAAGAAAGTAAACAGAAAGTCTGGGGGCACATCCCTTGTCCCCACCCCCACCCAGGCCTACATAGGTCCTTATTTCTAGATTTTTTTCTTTACCATTTAAGATTTATGTGGTTGTCACTGGTGCCATGGAATAAGGAAAAACATTTAAAAAAAAATACAATTGGCAGCTAGGCACAATGGCTCATGCCTGTAATCCCAGCACCTTGGGAGGCCGAGGTAGGAGGAGCGCTTGAGCCCAGAGTTCCAGGTGCAGTGTGCTACGATCATGCCACTGCACTCCAGCCTGTGCAACAAAGTGAGACCCTCTCTCAAAAAGAAAAGGAAAAAAAAAACTACAATTGTTTGGGATACCAGATAGTGTTTCAAAGGAATTTTGGGCTGATTTCATCATGTTAAATCATAAGTGGAAAGATGGGAGTGATAATATGGCAAGGACTCAAAAATTTCCAGAGCGGGCTTCTCCCTGGAACCACTGGCTTCCCTCGCCTTGGAGAGTAAGTAAGCTCAGTGTCCACTCACCTTGTCTTGTCTGTCCAGGGCACACCCCTCATGGATGAGTGCGGAGATGATCTCCGTGTTCCCCACCACCGTGGCCCGGTGCAAGGCAGTCTGGTCCCCCTGCAAAGTGACAAGAAGGCAGGAACAGCAGTCAGCTCCCCTGCACCCCCTTGCACTACTCACTTGACACCTGGACACAAAGACCCCTCCTGTCCCCATATAGAGCAGAGTGGTTATTTGCAGAAGGGCTTTGTGGTCTTGTTAGTAGACAATGCATGCTAGCAGAGCAATTTTGTTCACAAACTAAGAGAGAGACATTAAGCCAACAGCAAGAATAGCCCTTGGCCACAGAGCTGACCTCAGAATGAGGGTCAGGCTCTCACCTTCCATCCAGGACACATGATTGTCACAGGTGTGAAGAGTGGGTGTGGGGGCAGGTGTGTGCTATACAATTAAAGCAGCAATGCCTGGAATCTCTACTGCCTGTCAAGTTCTCAGCTTGCAGGGGAACCACTGTCCAGCTCTGTCAGTTAGCAGCACTCATGATTTGATGCCAGGCATGTCATTTGTTCACTGACTTGTACTAGTTAAGAGCAATGCAAGGGTTTGCCCTATTTCATCTGAGGACTCCAGGGACGGTAGCTATCACTGCATATTTCTAAGAAGCCTCTTCAGAGATTTCATGACAACATCCTCACTGATTTATGCTGCATTCTGAACCCTTTTCTCTGTGATTGGATTCCTGGGATTACCAGCCGTTTTTCTCCTTTAGGCGCCAAAGGGAACTTGACTGTTTTCCTAATTGCAGTTGAGTGAAGGATGAAACACTCCCAGAGGTAAGCAGGTCAAGACTGTAACAGGAGAGTTCTGAAGTCTCTAAGTACCCTTTATCTCTGACAGGTCCTCAGGAAGCTAAGTTGAGGCAAATCAAGCTGAGCCTGTTTTCCAGGCTTCAAAGGGAGGAGGGGTGGGCAGTGTGGACATGCTCTAGTAGAAAAAGTAATGAGCATGAGACAAGGGGTCAGGAGGCCGGGGTTGTGCACAGCTTGCTAGAAGCCTGTCGCCCTGCTGGACCTCAGGTGTGTCACCTATAAAAGGAGAGGGTGGATGATCTCCAGGGTTCCTGCATTGCCTTCTTGGATTTTGTGATTTGGTTGGTCAGAGCCTTGTAAAGTTTCCTGGCAGAGCACCAGAGAGGCAAAGGAAACACTCTGGGGTGTCCTGGTCCTTGGCACAGGAGAGGGCAGAGGCCATCACAAGATAAAACAGATTTTTTAAAAGAAGGATGCACTGCTACCTAAAAACAACCTTAATGAAATACTGATTCTACTTATTAAACTCCACTGATCTATAACAAACAACAATGCACATTAAAAGCATGTAATCTGAAATAAAGTTCTAAAGATGGATGGTGATGGTTGCACCACACTGTGAATGTACTTAATGCCACTGAACCGTATAGTAAATATGTTCAGATGCTAAATTTAATGCTATGTATGTTTTATTACAATAAAAAAACAATCCCTGTTAAAACTCGAAATTGCTTTCTTAAAATTAAAAGTGTCCCTTTAAAACTCCATGAAAGGATTTTTTCTCGTTTTTCTTTTTATAATTTTTAATATTTTCCAGCTTTTTATATTTGACACGGATAACTTTTAGCATCCAGAAAAACTGCTACTTATTGGAAGTCTGAGCAGAAACAATACTCCAATAATGGGACTGTCTCTGTCACAGACTCTTTTCTCACTGTTCATTCATGGAAAGTAAAGAATTTCTGTAGTGAGAAGGTCAGGACACTGAGGACAGGTCACTGTCCTCAACATTGCCACCACTGACCCTCCCTTCAGCATCCTAAACTATTATTCTCGTTACTAATTAGGCACAGGCTGGTTTTCTTCCCAGAATTCTTATTCAAAGGTAACCCTTGCTGTGGTTAAAAGAAGAACGTGGCTGCTGGGGCAGTGGCAGCAGGAGGTGGACTGTGCCATTGCACTGTCTACCTCAGACCTCTTAGAAAGTAGTTCTAGACAAGGAAACTAGTAATCATATGAGATACCACCCAGGTCTCAACTTTTTGTTTTTGTTTTGAGACGGAGTCTCGCTCTGTCGCCCAGGCTGGTGTGCACCATCTTGGCTCACTGAAACCTCCACCTCCCAAGTTCAAGTGATTCTTCTGCCTCAGCCTCCAGAGTAGCTGGGATTACAGGCATCTGCCACCATGCCTGGCTAATTTTTTTTTTTTTTTTTGTATTTTTAGTAGAGACGGAGTTTCACCATGTTGGCCAGGCTGGTCTTGAACTCCTGGCCTCAAGTGATCCACCCGCCTCAGCCTCCCTAAGCGTTGGGATTACAGGCGTGAGCCACCGTGGCCAGACCCAAGTCTCAACTTTTTAAAATTTCCATAAGATTTCCAAGACTTCCCATTTCTCTAGCAGAGTGCTGATGGAGTTTCCCAAAATAGGCCTCTAGTGCAATTGATGATTACTGATCTGCTAAAAAACAGTGCCCTCCTTAGCAAGAACCATGTAATTGCAGCTCACGCTTTCAGGGTAGTACTGACTTGGTTAGATTTCCACTTGTTACAGGCTTTTTAATATAACCACAAACTGCCTACACTGTAGCGCTCTCTGTACCAACAAAAACAACCTTTTTCCAGGATAAAACCTATCACTCTGTATTGTTCATAAAGTGTGAGCAACAAGCCCTGAGCACACGGGGTAAGTTAGCCACTCTTGCTGTACAAATTATTTCATGAAGGGCCTTCACTGGATGATAGGGTGCAGTCTAACATAAGCCTTGGTTTAGGTCAAATGTTTTTTATCATGTTTCACAAGCTGCCCTCTAAAATTATGGAGTTGAGGCATCTTTGGAGCCAGAAGGGCACATTATTTATTACTTGCTTTCATCATTAATCTACTGTATTTGCTTCCTTTGAGACAACTTTCCTTTGTGAAACTCTAGCTCAATACAAGCAGCTAAATCTAACTTTCAGTTCAGACCTTAGGTGGAAATTTCTAGACTAGCAAGATTCAGGAGATCTAATGACTTGTGTGAGGTTGCAGCAAGAACACAAATTGTCCTAAGCTGCTGGCATGGGTGTCTCCTGCACACCCCTTCCTCTGGGGACCTTGTGGCTGTCCTACCTGTCTCCAGGCCACAGAACCCCCTCCAGCCGTCCTCTCAGACAGAGACCTCACTGAGACCCCGGTCAGATAAACAATGCTGTCTCGCCAGGCTCGGCCTCTCCCTGCAGAAAGTGCCTGTCCTTGGCTGGACTGCCAGCTGTGCTTACACTAGCTGGAATGGTTCTGGAGGACTGAGCAATACGCTTTCTTTGGCTTTGAAAAACTCACCCTTCTCAAGTCACCAAGATGAGAATTAAAGGCTCTGAGGGACACAAAACATAATCAAAGGCTGCCTCAGGTTATCATCTCAGATCTATTCTTCCTTAGAATACAACACAAACAATTTAGCACCCCTTGGTTGAAGCATGGTCAGTTACCTACAAATGGACTCTTTCCTCCTCTAAGATTAAAATTTACTATGGAAACATTTCCTCCTTGAAATAACACAGAGAAGAACAAGATGTACCCTCAATACTTACAAGTGGCTACTTTGACATAATTTTTTTTTTTTTTTTTTTTTTGAAATGGATTCTCGCTCTGTCACCAGGCTGGAGTACAGTGGCAAGATCTTGGCTCACTGCAATCTCCACCTCCTGGGTTCAAGGGATTCTTCTGTCTCAGCCTCTCGAGTAGCTGGGACTACTTGCGCAAGCCACCATGCCCAGCTAATTTTCGTATTTTTAGTAGAGACGAGGTTTCACCAAGTTGGTCAGGATGGTATCGATCTCTTGACCTTGTGATCCGCCCGCCTCGTCCTCCCAAAGTGCTGGGATTACAGGTGTGAGCCACCATGCCCGGCCCTGACATGATTCTTACTTGTATATGATCTAAGTCAATCATGAAGTTCTGAAATGCTAGGAAAAGGCAGAGAACTCTCAACAGCACTTACTCAATTATCTACTCAGTGAACATTCATTCATTCATTTTGATACAGGGTCTCACTCTGTCACTTACCCTAGAGTGCAGTGGCATGATCTCAGCTCACTGCAACCTCCACCTCCCAGGCTCAATCAATCTTCCCACTTTAGCCTCCTGAGTAGCTGGGACCACAGGCATTTGCCACCATGCCCAGCTATTTTTAAAATTTTTTGTAGAGATGGAGTTTCGCCATATTGCCCAGGCTGGTCTCCAACTCCTGGGTTCAAGGGATCCTTCCTCTGTAGCCACCCAAAGTGCTGGGATTACAGGCATGAGCCACCACACCCGGCCTGAATATTTATTGACTAACTACTATGTGCCAGTCTAATTCCCTCATTTTATTGATTTTTATCTTATTTTATTGATGTCTAATTCTCTCGTTTTATTGGTAAGCCTAGAACTCAGGGTAGCACGCTTGGACCAGAAATCAAATTGTCAAGGCTCTTTGTACTCACTCCAAGCTGCCTTCAACTTGTGAAGTCATTAACCTTAAGACGGGCCTCAGAAAAGATCAGATGCGTCTGTGGGGTTGGGGCTGCCTCTTTCATAAAGTATAGCTGCTGTAGCTGCCCAAGAAGTATTTGTTGAATGATTAACTACAAGAAGCAGAAGGAAAAATGCTGTGGCTGGAAACTTGAAGAGCCTGCCACCTTGCAGTTTGGCACTATGATTTGGAACACGTTGACCCATTTGCACAGTACATGAACTGCTGGATCTCAGTTCTTCTGAGACAGTGTTTCTCACTTTGAGATTTTCAGAGCTTTAGTGTCTGTAAGGTCTAAATCTTTCTTTTGAAATACTGTTCTCTTTCCTACATGGTGAAAAAGTGAGCATAGTGTTGGCAGATTCCAAGGCCACACTCATGGAAGAAATTCCAGTCATGCAAGGGTGCAGCGTGCCCCTCTTCAGGAGGAATCACACCCATGTGGCACAGGCAGACATACTGTAAGGAAGCTCAAGACAGGATAGTGTGCAAAGCAAGTTGCTGACCTCTTTTTCTCTCTCTGATCTTCTAGGGTCCTTCCTAACCTTCCCTCTGTGGTTTTTCTTATTTTTGTCTTCTTTCATGGCTTTCATTGTGGCCACAGCATCCTGGACTATTTCTGAGGCGGGGGCTATGTGACTGCTCATTGACCAATCAGAGATGGCATTGGCGTTCCAATGAGAGTTGACAGGATTGGCAAGAAGCAAGGGAGAATTTGCTCCTGGAGTTGCATAATCTAAAGAACTGGTTTCCACAGGTTGAAATTCATAATAATCCCACTCCAAGCCACTGGAGGTCATTCTTCAACTAATTCTCAGTCCTTACCATGCCATAAATCAGTATCTGCAGAATATGAAGTTAGGAGTAAATTCTTTATAACATTAACATTCTCTGTTTCTACCCACCATCCAAGACAGGTAACTTCTGAAATTGATTTTTTCTTTTTTCTTTTTTTTTTTTGAGACGGAGTTTTCGCTCTTGTTACCCAGGCTGGAGTGCAATGGCGTGATCTCGGCTCACCGCAACCTCTGCCTCCTGGGTTCAGGCAATTCTCCTGCCTCAGCCTCCTGAGTAGCTGGGACTACAGGCATGCGCCACCATGCCCAGCTAATTTTTTGTAGTTTTAGTAGAGACGGGGTTTCACCATGTTGACCAGGATGGCCTTGATCTCTTGACCTTGTGATCCACCCGCCTCGGCCTCCCAAAGTGCTGGGATTATAGGCTTGAGCCACCGCGCCCAGCCTGAAATTGATTTTTTCTAATAACTGATCTTCTAGATTCTTTAAAGGACACAATCAAGAGTTTTCTTCCTTGATTTCTTGCATGTATTTCAAGGCTGGTCATCAACAGCATGTTAAATACACAGAGAACAGGAATGGATCATATGCCGGCAAATGAGTTTTTTCAGAACTAGTGAAGGTGAATTCTACCTTCCCCTCTCCCAACTGCTTCTTGTTGTGTATTTTTTTTTTTAATTTGGGAGAAGAAATATATGCATCGTCTGTCTAGGACAAGGAAAAGATGCAAGAAAATAACTTCAATAAATAAAAGGGGATCTTTCTGTCTAAAAGTAGAGCTGGCTTTTCTTCTGCTGACACATCTCACTTTGGCTACCTAAAATAATTCTTGCCTGTTTCACGTCCTACCTCGCCTGGTATAAACAGCAGCAGTTCTAGCAAATTAGCAAGGCTTTTGCTGCATGAGAACACAGTGATACTTGGAGTCCCGGATGTGAGGCAGGGGTATCAAGTTGGAATGGGTTAGCACGTCCAGCATTTTGGCATTGCCACTGTGGCAAGCAAAGCCTTTAATTATATGAAGAGAAGACCAGATGCATCCCAACATGTTTGCAGCAGTAACTCAACGTCCCACCTTTTCTGTGGTCAAAATATTTTCTTTCTCCTTGTATTTTTGCTCCTGTCATCTAGGGATATGATATAGTTGAAAATGTTATGATGGCCACGGTGCAGGAAAATAAAGTATTATGACCCAAGGTAGAAATCAACAGCTTAAAGCTAAATCAGCATTTTTTGAAAGTAACATCCTTGATGACCCAGCAGGTTCCAGATATAACCAGAGATGTATGAAAGACACTGGATGGCCTTCTGCCCATGCATAAAACAGTCATATTTAGTTATTTCTTTACAAATACTATCCTTCTCACTGTGAGTTTGCCAAGTTTTATGACATTATATACAGACCCAAAGAAGATTAGAAGCACTTTGGTAAACCACACTCTAGCACATCTGAAGGTATGAAATTTGAAACACGCTCTATAACTACAGTTATTAAAGGTGAATTTGGAAGAGGTTGTAAGTGCAAACACTCCAAGATTCTGTGTTCCCTACAAAAGTTCTTATTTCTTAAGAGTTCTACTACACGAATTAGTGTTGCAACCATTTCTAAAAATAGTTTTCAATTATACTATCAAAGGACCTTTTCCTAATAGTTGTTGGAGGACAATTTATATGGTCCTCTCTTAGAGAATCCACCTTCTCCAAAGACCCAATAGGGCAGCCCACTGAACTGCATGACTCCAACCCAGCCACTACTAACTCACTCAGGATTGGCCACTTGATGCCAGAGGAGCCAATCAGAGTCTATCTCTAGATAATCCGAATGCATAGACTCAGAGCTGAGTTGGTTGGTGGACATGTCTCAATAATAGCATAGTACCAGAGTGAACTGTTTCTGGAGGCCTCCTTTTTCTTAGATTCTATGATTTTTGTGTCTTCCCCTCAACTCCCCAACTTCAATAGCTCCTTTTCCATGTCATAGTCACAGACGGAGACATTAAGATAAGAAAAAAATTAAGTTTTTGACCCCCATTTTTCTCCAATGATAAATTTGGTCACTGACACACAATTCCAGTGGGTCTTGCCCATACTGATGTGCATGTGTGTGTCCCTTTATGCCGAGACCTGACACAGGCAAAAATGCCCTTTGAGGCATTTTGTATAATAGACACGAAGTGATCACTTGAATAATAGACAGGAAGTAAACCGGAGAGAGATCCAAGATGGCTGATCACTAGCAGCTCGGGATTGCAGCTCCCACTGAAAGAGCAGAGAACGAGAGGACGCCACACTTTCAGATCAATTTTTGTTGCTCACACACCAGGAGATTCCCAGCGGAGGAGCCCCACGTGTCGCCAG